TCTTGCAATTGAGATTTTTAGAGATGTTGGTTGTTGGTGTTGATTGTGAGTTCCTTGTGTTGTTCCTTTGAGAGAGGTTTTCTGTGTTATCGATTTCTTATAAAACTCATTCATTTTCTCATCGCTTTGCATTCTTTATGTTCGTCTGATTGGAAGTTTCTGAAAGTGGGAATCTCTGAATACTTGGTCGCACTGGCCCCACCTTTGGGCTGAGTTGCCGGAGAGTTTCACCGGATTAAACTGAAAGTCAGGGAATATGAGGTGTGAAACTGATAGAAGATGTTGAGAAGGAATGGATAGTTCGGAGAAACCAATGGGGAAGTTATATGTGAGAGAGGNTGCAAACACTAGGGATAAGGGGCCAGTTGGTGGAAGAGGAAAGGGTCGGACCAGAAGGAAAAGACGGGGAGATCGGAACTCGGTGAAAGACTCACTGAGAACCGACCCCCCTCCCCCACGGGCTAAACGATCTTCTCAACCGAAGGTTGAGTAGTAAATTAACCCCTTCTCAACCGAAGGTTGAGAGGAAGCCCGCAGAACTGCCTCTGGTATAAGTATAATTATTTATTGAAAATTGGAATATGTTATTTTGAAAAAAATGGGCATGACCTCTCCATATATAAGATCAGATATCCCCCACCCTTCAAAGCCTTCCTCCGGAAGGCTTCTGAATCCTACCTACCTTCATGAGACGAAGGTATCCCACCAAATCCTTTGTTCCCAATCATAACATATGACTATTTCATCCCGTTTCAATGTTTTTTCATCTTCCCTTCTCCTGAACAATCTGTTCAACTTGGAAATCCTTCCTCCAAATACTCACACAACAGTGTTCAAGACACACAATATAGTTCTTTCACAATACAACCAAGTCNAATACAACCAAGTCTTTCAAGTTCGAGAGTCCATTACAAAACAGAACATTACGAGAAGTTTCGCAACCTCGAATACTCATCAAGACCGAAACCGTACTAATCTACCAAATTCCTCTTACAACAAATTAAAAGTTACAAAAACCATATCGAACATTCAGAAATTGCCGAGAATCAGATTTCGATATCTTACAATGCTTATAGGAGATCTGGCGTGATACAGGGAGAAATCATTAATTGTTGTAAACTTGCAAAATCTCTTGAGCTCTCTAGCTTGATAGAGGAAAACTAAGCAGACAGAGACGAACGCTATGAGCTCATATGTCAATTAGACCAACCAGGAAAAGTTCATTCCAAACTACTTTCCTTCAAAGTATCAAATCAGACAACATAATCAATCTATTAGGGCCTAGAATAAATGATGACAAAGACATTTACTATTCTTATTCTACTACATACACGAAGGAAAAAGTGTTTCGGTTAAAACTATTCAAGTGCTAACGTGCTCAACTCGATTGCGAAGTAACTNAGTGTTTCGGTTAAAACTATTCAAGTGCTAACGTGCTCAACTCGATTGCGAAGTAACTGTCATTTTGATTTTTCATAATTCAACGAACAATCGATTGATCTTTAAAAGTTCATGAAAACTCTTCGAATAGTCCTGTACTTCAGCCCAAACTAGAAGTAAGCCTATCGCAACAGAACACAACGGAATTATCAACAATCTAAATCTTCAAAAAAAATAAAAAGTTCTACTGAATAGCGTCCAAAAAACTAAGCCTGATAGAATTAAGAAAACATTCGTTCCAGACAGTGGGAAATACAAGAAAGGCTACAGCCGATTAGAAAACTAACGCGCTACTGGTGATAACTCAAATCAACTTGATGAGAATAGCACAGAGCAAAGACTGAGCAACGGTTATACCGGGAAGTAAAAGAGCCAAAAAAACACCAGCAAATCACACAACCTCTCTCCAACGGCACACAATTCGTACTGGCGTTAGAAGAGTGATGACTGACTCCGCCCACAACCAAAATACAAAAACCTAACTATAATCAGATCAGTCTCAACAACATCTTTGAAACCCCTTGCTATACTAGTGAAATTTCAGTTCCATATCGGTTTGAGCTGGCAACGGTCTGAACGATTATGCTAATGCATTAAGCACGAAAAGTACAACAACACCGGTGACAATGGGAAAGACACGATCACGGAAAAAGCTGAAGGAGCATTTAGGAAATAAAACGGAAAAAAATTGAACAAATTGGTTGAGAATCCATTGAGTAATGAGCATTTAAGTGGAATCAATTTCATCGCTTTTTTCACGTGATACGTGAAACACGACCGCTCACACGAAAAACTAAACTTAGAAAATGGACTGATTCAGCGCCGAGAATTAATTTTTTTTCGTGAAAAAATGAAATATTGTCCGTTCCATTTTGAGAATCTGAAGCGCATGAAGCGGTGTTGCATCAGATCAGAAGCACGGGAAACGTCGTAACTCTCTTCAAACTGAACGAAATTCCACAATTTTTTCTCATTCAAAAGCCGTGTAGGTGAAGAATGGAAACAGCGAATCTGCATGTGAAACACAGAAAAAAGCTGCTCAAGCTCTCAACATCAAGGAAGAAACGATGGAAGATCTTTAACACTGAATGAAACAATCGATAACAAACAAAAAAAAGTAAGCAAAAAGTTAAAAAATTGAAAATTTTTAGAATTTTTTCCGGATCACATCACAGATCTCAGGCCTTCTTATCATCCTCAACAAACGATTGTTGTAGGGATTCAGAATAGGCCCTGTTTTGGGATCGGAAAACGAGTACGCTCATCCTACAACGAGCTGAAATGGAGAATAACCTCCGTTGTCAATGTTCTCACCGGACAAGTTCTGTTCTGACTTTGTCGGCGTTTATACTTCGAAATTCATATAGAAAAGCAGAATCTCATCCGGAACCTGACATCTACCTCACGAAACTGCTATTCATCAATGAAGAAACAAAGGAGAAACAGTACACGCCAACTGAATTCATACTTCGCTCGTTATAAGTTAGTTATAAACTATTCAATAGCAAATCTCAAGCTTGAGAAGCAGAATTAGAATCAAATATACAATAATTAATCAGAGTAGCAGAATGAGAACGTCGAACACATTGTATTTTCATGAAAATAAGGACAAAAATGAATAAAAATTAGTAAAATTAACCTGAAAAAATTCTGGAAAATTAAGTTTTTTTCAAAATTTAATTAGTCCTGACACGATTTTAAAGAAAAAAATTCAAAAAAATGCGATGACGAGTGTCATAGATTCGCCTCCCGCCTGGGAGGTGGCCCGTCGGGCCT